AGCGATCAGAAATTTCAAAACAAACGTTCGCTTAGTCAAAAATCGCCTATAACTCAAAAATTCACATATGAAACCACCTTCTGCATATTAACAAAACTTAACATAGACTCTAACCTTACCATAAGCAAACTTAAAGAATTTTGTCGAATATCACGTGATAGTAAAAATTTTTCTGGCGATGCTGGGGAAGATCTTAAAGCCAGGTCCTAAACTGACCCTAACCTTAACGTTAATTTAAATTCGTAATGGTAATCAGTAAAAATACTATTAGATAGCCTGTCGGGACGACAGTCATGGGATTTTCAAAATACGCACGTAATTTTCAAGTACAGTATATTTGTTGCGAATCGTTGGCCTGTCGGAACGACAGCCATTCATGAATTAATGTGACCTGTTAGACGACAGTCACAAGGTTAGATAAAAAAAAAAGGGGGATAGAAGGCGATTCTAGTGAAATGCTACATGAGATGCTCGATAGCAGAGGGAATAAAACCCATACGTGTTTCTATGATATGGTTACAAGAAAATGAGAGACGAACAAAATCTTAAATTGCATAAGTTTTGCTCTAAAATAAATACGTATGTCCATGAAAGTTATGTTACATAGATGGATCAATGTAATTGGATATACAGTAACGATAGGTGAAATTTTGCTTACGCTGATTATACTGCAAAATTCACACTTATACCAATACGACAACTATTCTGTGATAGTGATGTCCCAAATTTTGGAAAGGTTATGTGACGATAAGAATGAAAATCGTGTAATATAAATCTAGAAATTTATCTCCTGATTACACGCCGAATTTATCCTGACTGTATGCCGAATTTCTCCTGACTACATGCTGAATTTCTCCTGATCATAAGCCGAATTGCACCAACAATTGACATCAATCGGGATTAACTATTTTATAATTTTATACAAATCAGGTTGCTGTATAAATTTGCATCAATCAGGGCTATAACAATTTAGTAATCGGGCATATATCAGTTTAAAATCAGGATTTTTTTTATTTCGACTAGTGATGGGCAGATTCACCCTTTTCCCAATTTTATTTTACCTCCAAACACATTAATTGATACAATTATCGCAATTAATGTAATAACGATTCAAAGCTAAGTTTACCCTTATAGGTATTATATGTAGTTGAAAAGATACATGCAAGATTTTCATTCACAAGGTTTTACATTATTAGCAATCCAAGCATATCTATATTAACGCTACCCATCGCTACATCCAACGTAATATTCTCAGTTGATATTTTGTCTGCAACCAAATCATAGCCATTGAGAAGTAAAAACGCAGAAATGGAAAATGGCCGGCTCTCTTATTCCCATCCAAAAATGGATGGTTTTTTATGATGCTCTCTCCAAGGCCGGCGGCCATTCTATAAAGTGATGCTTTTTCATAAAAAAAACATTAACTTTGGCCTATGGAAAGCGGATTCTAATAGGCCAATATCCATAATATGCTGTTGTTGACCCATACTCTTCATTATCAAATTATTACCTTCAATAAAATCACCCAGTTTTAGCCATTTTGGTTCATTTTCATTATGCGGATCATTTGTTGAATATTTTCTTAGGTTTCTGTCGCCACATTCACTTGTCTCGTAAACTCAAATAAAGATCCCAATTTTTGCGGATTACATAATTTTGCGCTTCTTTTTGTAAGTCGTTTGGAGCTGTGCGGGCTAAAGTGTAAGGACATAATGAATATGAGCATAATATAACGATGGGATTAAGTTCTCATGCATCAATATCATTACCTGAAATTTCGCTCCACTTTTTTCCTGAAAAACGACCAACCTCTGGAGGTAATGGATAGTTGGGACGTCCAGACAAGCCTTAAATAAATAATAAACATAAGATTTATATCCTAAAAGAAAGTGCAAAAGCAAATTTAATACGTACTGCTCAAGAAAACGCTCCATCGTGAAAATAAAGTTGAAAGGCGCATCGTAAGAGGAGTTTTCTAATATAGATATAAAATTTTCACAAAAAATCTAAAATTTTAAGTCAACTCAAATTTTCTAAAATTTCGAAATTCTTGAGAATTTATATCTAAAATTATCAAATTTAACTAAAAATTTTTAATATGATACAGATGAATATTTTGAATTTCAGAATATTCCAGAATTTTACTATTTTGGCTTATATTAGCATAAAACTACTATAATGTGGACCTGTGCAGACCGCACAGCCTGCACAATAGATTCAAAAAATTTTTGATTTGTACATTCTGGAGAATAGAACCAAAATTCCTACCTATCTTTAGTGGTATATATTTTATTTTTAATAATAAAAATTTTAACAAAACTATTTAACTTCTAAAACATATATATAGCACATAATTAGATATTGATATTATGATCTAGAGACGTAAATTTATGTGACTTAGTGTGATTTAATTCCTAATTATTTTTATATTTGGTCAGAATTAAAATAAATTAAATTACAAACTTGCATTCTTATAATAATATTCAAAACAATCAGCAAAACTTAAATACAGATTTATTAAAATTCTTATAATGTTGTATTTTAACAAAAAAAAAATGAATCTATAAATTTTTCTAAATTTAAATCAAATTTATTAAATTAAAATTTATCTAAAATTTATTAAATTTAAAATTTACTAAATTTAAACTAAATTTTGCTGTTATCAGAAAAAAATTTTGAATTTTTAAACCTAAAATTTTATAGATCTCTGCTACCAGATAGCAACCAAAATTTAGCAGATTAACCTATCGACCTATCTAGTATTAGATTCAGAAAATTAATTTAACAAATCGATCTTTACTAGGCTTTGTAGACCATTAGTAGAGCTGTTAAAAGTTTAATTCTATCTGTCTGAACTTTTTAAATAAGTTATAGTCTAGCAAAACTACCTTCTAACTTTTACCAAAGATTTTGAAATTTTTTGATCAAACTAAAGTATAAGTTCTTATTTATATATAGTTTAATTTTTACTCTATATTAATATAATAATTTATCAGAATATTTTAATTTGAAGGTAGACAAATCTTTAAATATTTGTGTTCTAAAAATAGATTAATAGCAAAAGGTTGATGACTTAATTAAATTAAATTGGTTAATCGATACTGTATAATCATATGATATTGTTTATTCAGTAATTGATATCTAAAAATAAACAAAAAGTTCAGGAGCAAAAATTTAGATTGCACAAACAATACAGTCAAACTTCTATAAATACAATGTGTACAGACTAGCCTAAAATATACATTTAAAGAGGTTTAAATTTAAAAAGAGTTAATCAAATTACAGCTTTTAATATTTGATCTGCAGGCTTATATAACAAACTTAAATACTAACTTCTAATTAGCTACGTATATTTAGAGAGGTTAGTATGATATAAAAAATCATTTGAGTAAATATATATTTGCAGAATATAGAATATATATTTAGTACTAATGATTTCATATAGTCAAGACAAAAACATATATTTAGAGAGGTATTGTATTTATAAAGGTTATATTTAGAAAGATCTAACTATAATTGTTATTTTCTTAAAAAACAAAAAATATATTTTGCTAGGCTATGACCCAAATAGAGATTTAGATTAAGACTTGATCTTTGAGTTAAGTTTGCAGTATTTTAATTATATATGAATCAACATAAGTTAGTTAATTAAAATGAACAATTGTTAGAACAAAAGATATATAGTTAGATTTTATTTGTCAATATAAATTAGTCAATCAAAATGAACAAATTTCAGAACAAAAAATATATAGTTAGACTTTGTTTGAAGTCAATTCAAATTAATCTTAAAAACTTCTTGCATTTAATATTCTAAATACATATGAGCTATTTTTGTTTATAATTTTTAGAATCAAAAATAGTATCCCAAAATCAATTGATAAAACTATAAATATATAATATAAATATATTTTTAAGGGTGTGGCGACATAGTGCAGTTGGCAAGTTGTCA